AACAACAACAACAACAACAACAACAACAACAACAACAACAACAACAACAACAACAACAACAACAACAATAGTGTAATACATTTTATTTAAGGATGCCTTTCAAAAACCCAAGGTCACCTTACAAAAACAAACAAAAACAACAATTAATAAAAACAGAATCAACAAAACTATTATATAAAACAAGTCATGATATGACAACACTTAAAACCATGTTAAAGAGAATACGCCTGTTTGAACATGTGTGTTTTCATCTGTGATTTAAAAGAAGGAAGAGAGTCTGTGTTCCTGATGACAGGAGGGAGTTCCAGAGCTGAGGAGCACAGCGACTGAAGGCTCTGTTCCCCATGGTGACGAGACGGGCAGAAGGAACAATAAGACGAGTGGCAGACAAGGATCTGAGGGTACGGGAAGCAGTGGAGATGTGAATCAGATCACACAAGTAAGGAGGGACAATGTCATGGATGCACTTGAACATGAGAGTTAGAAGAGTTTTTGAAATTTATTCTAGCTTCTATGGGCAACCAGTGAAGATGTTGCAGAACCGGGGTGATGTGTTCTCTGGAAGTTATGACCCGAGCTGCACAGTTCTGAAGGAGTCTGAGTTTATGGAGAGACTTATTTGGGAGACCAAAAAGAAGAGAATTACAATAATCAATACAGGAGGTGATAAGGCTATGGACAAGGATGGCAGCAGCATGAGGAGTAAGAAAGGGACGGAGTCGGTTAATGTTGCGCAAGTATGCAGATCGGGTGATATAATTAATATGAGATTAAAATGAGAGTGCACCATCAAGTACGACACCCAGATGCTTTATGTGAGGGGAAGGATGAACATGGGAGTTGTCAATATTTATGGAAAAACTGAGATTTGGTTAAAGTGGAGGCTATGCCAATAAGTAAAACTTTGTTTTCTTACTGTTAAGTTTAAGAAAATTAGAGGAAAACCATGATCCAATTTCCATAAGACAGTGAGGGAGGTGGATGGAATGAAATGTATTTTGAGGAAATGTAGAGCTGGGTGTTGTCCGCATAACAATGGAAATTGATTTTATATTTGCAAAATATATGGCCAAGAGGGAGCATGTAAATAATGAATACAAGGGGCCCTAATATGTAACCCTGGTGAACACCTGCAGAAATTCAATTCAATTCAGTTTATTTATATAACGCCAAATCACAACAAAATTAGTAAAGTTCTCTATCTAAGAAATGGAAAACAAACTTGAGGAATGGGATTTAAATTGAATAAACTGAGTGTGGCCTGAAATATATGAGGTAAACCAAGCAAGTGGAGTATGACTGATGTCAATGGATGAAAATCTGTTCAGGAGGACATCAGGTCTGTCACAATAACAAATTTTGCTGGGCAATTAATTGTCTCAGAAATTATTGCAATAAACAATAATAATGTTTGGAATTTGACAGTAATTAGTAATTATTGTTATTGACAATAATTAGTAATTATTGTTATTGACAATAATTACTAATTATTGTTATTGACAATAATTAGTAATTATTGTTATTGACAATAATTACTAATTATTGTCAAATTTAAGAAGAAATGTTTGTTAATTCATGTTGCATGTAGTAACGTTTTCAACCACCAGATGGCAGTATAAGACTGTTTGAATCAAAGGATGAATAGTGATGGAGTGAGCTCCACGTCTAAGAAAAATGGGAGGGAGGCCCCTTGACATGACATGGTCCGTCTCTCCTTCCTTTCTTCAGTTCTCAAAATGGCAGACACTCGGTGTGGTTTGAGCTCTTTAGCATAACATTTTTCACACAAAGCTTTTAATAAAGAAAAAATCAGTAAACAAGTTCTCAGCTTCTTTTGCAAAGAAATACAACTTTTTACACGTCGGCACGGGTTTCAACTGTGAATTTTGGAGCTTCGACAAGATGGACATTTTTTCCCTGAGGTCAGCCTGTTAGCTTAGCTCGTAGCTTAGCTTCTCAGCTTAGCTGCTTTTAACGATCCAAAAATGCTATTTTGGATCGTTAAAACAGATTTTAAAGAGAAAGGGAAGGGTCAGCGAAGAGCGCTGGAGTTGAGCTGTGTCTTCAGTAGAAAGAGAGCGACACGAAGAAACGATAAAGCTGGGGGAGTGGTGGCGCAGAGGTTAGAGAAGGTGGGCCTGTGATTGGAAGATCGCCGGTTCAAGCCCCGGTACAGACAACATCAAAAATGTGGGTAGGGTAGGTGAAGCACCCACACCTGCCCCCACCCTCATTCGCCCTACTCTGGGCCCTTGAGCAAGACCCTTAACCCCCATCTGCTCCCTAAGCAGGTCTCTCTTGCAAATGAGTTCTTGTGGCTACCTGTACAAATAAAAAGTAAATGAAAAAAAAAAGAAGCTGATAAATGAAAATGAGGTAGATAATTTTCATTTATCATGCGATTACTTGATTTATTCTGCACTGAGAACAAGGAGGATGAGAATGATGATGAGACCAGAATCAGCTGCCAACAAAAGGTCACTGGTGATCTTTAATAAAGCTGTTTCTGTACTGTGGTGTTTAAGATGCTGACGATTAAAGAGAAAGTGGAACTTATGGACAAACTTTACGATGGCCGTACCTACGCAGATGTTGCTGACCGCCTACGGCATGATTGTTAAGATGAAAGCTGCATTGGTCATGTGGATTAATGACTGCAGGAAAAAAACAACATAAATTTGGATACCAACACCATCTGGACAAAGGTGAAACAACTTTATGATTGTCTTGCAGCAGCAGGAGGAAGAAGACAGCAACGCAAATGAGGAGAAGGGAACAAACCCGAAGCTGGAACTTTCAACCACCTGGTTCAACCACCGAACCACTGCACTTCGTGCCAGCAAGGGATGGTTCGACAAATTTCAGAAACGATTTGGATTATTAAGTGTTTCTCTGCACAGAGAGGCTGTGTCTGCTGACACAGAAGGAGCGGAGGAGTTTGTTAACACAATGTTCAAAGATCTGATCGCCGAGCCAGGGGTCTACAGGTCAGAACAAGTTTTTAACGTGGACGAAACGGGCCCGTTCTGGAGAAGGATGCCATCTCACACTTTTATTATGAAGGATGAAGCCAAAGCACCTGGTTTCATCTCATCTTCATCACCTTCATCAATGGACAGATAATTCTTCCATCTCCTTCTCTTCTAGTTCATCTTCTCTGGTGAGTACATATATAAAATTAATATTTTAAAAGATTTAAGAGTTTTGAAAATTATTAGGAACATTGCAAGTATGGGATGGGTTTAAAACGCCAATATATACCTGTATATGAATGCTAAAATACAGTAGTACCTCGCGACTTCGCGGTTTGTTTATCGCGGATTCACTCTATCGCGGTCTTTCAAAATAAGATTGGAAATGACACACAACTGGTTGATTGATGGATGAACCGCATGATCGGCATGGAATTTTCAATTTAAATTAATTATTTTAAATTATTAGCACCTCCTGCACCTCTGTGCAGACAACACTGCAGGATAAGCTTCCTCCTGCAGCTGATCAGCTGATCTCTAATCTGCCGTGGAAAAGTGGGCATGGCTGAAAGCGTTTGAAGGTGGCAAAGAGCAGAGGAGGCAGAGAGCTGAAATCATGACATTCAGTGCTCTTTTAGAGCGTTTAGAGTTTAGAAACATGGTTTAGAATATTGCAAGAGTGTAGGAAGGGTTTAAAACATATATATACAAACCGGATTCCAAAAAAGTTGGGACACTAACCACTTTGTGAATAAAAACTGAATGCAATGATGTGGAGGTGCCAACATCTAATATTTTATTCAGAATAGAACACAAATCACAGATCAAAAGTTTAAACTGACAGAATGTATCATTTTAAGGGAAAAATCTGTTGTTTCCAAATTTCATGGCGTCAACAAATCCCCAAAAAGTTGGGACAAGTCCATTTTTACCACTGTGTGGCATCCCCCCTTCTTCTTCCAACACTCAACAGACGTCTGGGGACAGAGGAGACCAGTTTCTCAGGTTTAGAAATAGGAATGCTCTCCCATTCATGTCTAATACAGGCCTCTAACTGTTCAATCGCCTTGGGCCTTCTTTGTTGCACCTTCCTCTTTATGATGCGCCAAATGTTCTCTATAGGTGAAAGATCTGGACTGCAGGCTGGCCATTTCAGTACCCGGATCCTTCTCCTACGTAGCCATGATGTTGTGATTGCTGCAGAATGTGGTCTGGCATTATCGTGTTGAAAAATGCAGGGTCTTCCCTGAAAGAGAGGACGTCTAGATGGGAGCATATGTTGTTCTAGAACCTGAACATAGTTCTCTGCATTAATGGTGCCTTTCCAGACATGCAAGCTGCCCATGCCACAAGCACTCATGCAACCCCATACCATCAGTGATGCAGGCTTCTGAACAGAGCGTTGATAACAACTTGGGCTATCCTTGTCCTCTCTGGTCCGGATGACATGGCGTCCCAGTGTTCCACAAAGAACTTCAAATCGTGACTCATCTGACCACAGAACAGTCTTTCATTTTGCCACACTCCATTTCAAATGACCCCTGGCCCAGTGCAAACGTCTGAGCTTGTGGAGCTTGCTTAGAAATGGCTTCCTCTTTGCACTGTAGAGTTTCAGC